AATAGCAGGGAGCACATGGTGTTCCTACCCACTCTCCGTGCACTCTTCTGAGAGCAGCAGAGACATAACCTGTTCTTCTCTAAAGAGTGCCTTGGCTTGCTCTGAAACTTGTGAATACAGTTAAACAGGAGAAAAGCGCTTTTTAAAATAAAAATAGCTTTTTCTTGGAAGAACTTTGCAGATTGTCAGCCATGCTGCTCTCCTAGATGGTGGATTGAGGGGATCAACAGATATCAGCTATACTCTCATGACCATTATTTTTGTGAATTTATATTATCTGGAAAAAGAAGCATTTTAAAATTAACTTTTTTCATAAAGACAGATTTTTTTTTTTATTCCTAGTAAACCTCAATTTCCGCTGCTTCTGTACTGTAAGCTCTTCAGGAATGAATTTCTATCTTACTACCCTCCTGTACAGCACCTTGGCTGATGTGGACCACAGTGTGGTCTACCCTGTGCAGAAACAGTCTCCGGGGAGAGATAGCAGAGGAGTCAATTAGAGAGCATTAAAGTCAAACTGTTATAGATATTCAATACTACGCAACTTATTGCCAAAGTGCAGGTAGGAACCTTCCTTCTTTACCTGCACACTAAGGAACGTGAGAGTCCCCAGGACAGAGAGATTGTTCTGAATTTCCTCTCGCTCGTATGTTTGCACACAGACCACTGCTGTAGGACGGGGCATGGAGAAGTATCCTGCCGTTCCCTTGTTCTGTAGGAGAAAGCCCTAATCAGAGCATCTGATGACTTAACCTTAAAGATCAGCTGTCTGTCAGGATTCTTTTGAGGAGAATACGCTAAAGTACACGTTAAAGTGGGTAGTGAAGGCTGAGGAGCTGAGAAAGCTCAGCCGGAATGAATTTGTCCTATGTGGTGCCACGGCCTGGGACAGCGCAAGACTCCGTCCGTGCCAGGCATGACCTGTCCGGTGCTTTTTAATTGATTTTTGTCTTGTGCTGTCAGGTCCCTTGTCGCATCTTTCAGCCTACTGGTTCTTTTCCAGCGTAAGAACCTCGTATGCGTATGAAGCGCAGACCCAGACTCCCCTCTCTCGACCCGCACCACCTCCCACTCCCCTGCTCCGCAGCGGGGGGAGAGCAGAAGGGAACGGCTGACGCGCACTGAAACGCCCTCACCGTCTTTTACCTTTCCCACGTGTGTAGGAGGGAATTGTCTTTGGAGCTACCAAAACGTGGAGGAAATCCAATATTTTAATGCCATCTGCTGCATTTTAAAGCTCCTGCTCTCCCCTCTGCTGCACACCTGGGACGCGGTTTTGCAGACAGTTCAGCCTAAGGCCCCGACCCAGCGTCGCTCCGAAGCAGCGGGCGAGAAGGGCACGACTGCTGTCGCTGGAGCCGAGCAAGTCCCGGCTTCAGCAGCTCCCTCCGCACGTGATTAAAAAAATGGAAACGCGATTAAGTATGCACCAAAAGGATTCACAGGTCTGGGATGTAAATTTGGAAAAAAACCAAAAATTTCCCAGGGAAAATATAATACTATCGTGCTTCCACAGAAGTTTTCCACATTTTCACCCCACGTACGTCTATATTTTATGTGCAATACTTAACATATTTGTCCTAATTTCACCCTCTCCCTCTGAACTTTGTTCCTGTTGCTTTGTACCAAAGAATACTTCCATTCCATAGTGAGCGTTGGTTCTTCCGACTCAGCCGCTGCGTCCCTTCCCGTTGGCCAACCCTCGCGCCGCTGAGCTGAACTCCTGCTCCAAAGCTCTCCTCCACGTCTGCGCTCTGTCGTCCAGTGGTCTGGCCCAGTGAGCCACTCCACGTCTTAAACCAGGCCACATAATTTTAGTGAACGGCGAGCTTTCCGCAGGCCGACTCCAGGTTTATGCTAACGAGACGCTGAGAGCAAAAGGCCCTGGCAGGACCCCGTCTCCGCGGGCGGGTTTGCCCTGCGCGACGTAACTCTGCCTGTGCTACGCGGACTGGCTGCGTATCCGCAGCTTCAGATTACGGTTTTATGGAAGGCAAAGGAAAAGTGAGAAAAGGGCGAATGATTTTGTTTCCACTATGTTATGTCTCAAATTGTCCAACTTTTGATATACCATTCTCCCTCACATTTATTCTGTTGAACCCAGTCACGATATTGGAACTGTTTAATAACCAGCTTCAGGTACATTGTAAGCAATATAGAGAATAAACGTTCTGATAATTACTAATTTCATTAATAGTCATCTTGCTTCTAGGGAACGGTAAGAATGTATTTTTGATGTTCTCATATTGCAACATGCGGCATAAGTGCTTCCCTTTTTTCTGCATTGATATAGGAATACACTATAGATGTATTTTTCCGCCAAAGCTGGAAAGACGAGAGACTAAAATTCAAAGGACCTATGACTGTTCTCCGGTTAAATAATTTAATGGCCAGCAAAATCTGGACACCTGATACCTTTTTCCACAATGGGAAGAAGTCAGTGGCTCATAACATGACGATGCCAAATAAACTATTACGAATTACAGAGGATGGGACGTTGCTATACACAATGAGGTGAGCCCTACGTTATTATATCCGTCATTTAGTCTGACTATTTAACTTGTTCAAGCATCGAACAGGAAATGCATTGCTTTTTGAGCAGAATTTGATTGCTGCTTAGTAATTATTTTCACAATACGGCATGGAATGATGGACAAACCGACGCCTGTGCAGTGGTTATTTTCTCCCCCTCCTGCTGTGCTACCTTTACCGTCCCTGGCTGCGTCTTAATGCTTGATTTCTAAAGAGTAGCTCTAGTGTTAGGAATCCGTCAGTTTGCAGAGGACCTCAATTTGGAGTTGCTTTCAATGAGTCCATCAGCAAAGTATAACAAAGCCTGAAAGTTTAACATAATCTGGACTCCTCAGTCGTGTACAAGGGTCTTTAATCTTTGGATCCTGGAGGAAGCAGATTCTAAGAACGAGTGGATGCGCACAGAATTCATCGCCCATTCGTCATATTTCACGTGCTTGGGAATACAGAGCGTGACAGTCTAAAAATAGGCATTTCTTATTCCATTCATAACAAGAAAATTCACTAAAGCATTTGGAAAGTTAGGAGAAAAATTATTTTTGTGCTGGCATCACTTTTACTGGAATTATGTTATTCTCTTCGTGGCTAACTGAACTTTAGCTACCCACTTGTCAGCAGAGGAATTAAATAAATCCTTTTGAAATAACGAGGATACACAGTCATGGAAACATTCTGGGTTAAAAGACTGCAAATTAAATAATGAAAAAAAATGGCATGTTGTCTCTACAGAGCAACACCCCCCGTTTATGTCTGCCATGGAATCAAACAAGGTATAGAGTGATTCAGAAGACTCAAAGCCAGGATGGATAGCTTAGCGCGTAGCTGAACGCTGAGTTTTCTTTTAACAATTTTAAAGGTGTTTTTTAAAGCAGTACAAGTATTTGGAGAAAACGAAGTCTTCAGGCTGTTGGGAGCCTGTCAAATGTGTTCAATTCATTCTGCAACGTCTTTCAAGACTGCCTAGGCTAGGGCAGAGTCTGCTTGGCTGGTAGTTGTACAAGTCTGGGTCAGTTTTTTCTTGTCTTCCTAAATGCTTGGCTGTTAGGGATTTAATCCACAAGAACACTATCTTGGCAGCACATTGTTCACATATGTCGCTTCTTTTGACCATAACTATTTCCATTTGCTCACCTTTGCAAGTGCTTTAATGCAATCTTCTTCCTAGTGTTCAAGCATTATTGTTCGTTCCTCGCTGATGTGCAGTATCTGACTGTTGCTGGTTTATTTAATCTCTTTTATTGAGAAACCTGTTTGCACCCAAGCCGATAGCAACGCAATTATTTCAGCAAATGTCTGAGGATCCAGAGTGGGCCAATTTAATGATGGCAGCAAGGAAGCAATTTCAGTTTCCAATAGATTTTAATCCTCGTGCCAAGTTAGAAGTCTGAGCATGTCTCTGCCGTGCAGTGGAACACGGCAGAGGGGCAGAGCTCGTCGCACTGCGGTGCCTGCACGTGCCTGCCGGCACCCCCAGCCAGCCAGGGCAGGCCCCGTTCGAGCTGTTAATTAACCACGTAACGGATATGATGCTATGCTTATTCTATGTGTCTTAATAGAAGTCTGTGTGCTATTTCTATGAAAGTAGAATAAATGTGTCCCTTTGCTCATTAATCCGTTATAGATTGACTGTGAGAGCAGAATGCCCGATGCATTTAGAAGACTTTCCTATGGATGCACATGCTTGCCCCTTGAAATTTGGAAGCTGTAAGTTTATTTTAAATTGAGTTTTGTCCCTTTTTAGGCTACTTAACAAAAGTACTTTGCAACTGAGAAAACCTCAAGGTTTTAATCTTGTGTATTTTTCACTTTCTTTGCAGGTTTGTATTTTTCTTCTTATATATATTTATATTTAATATAACAAACTACTTTATGTGTCTTAAATATCCTCCAGTGTCATGCCTGGACATTCGCAAAAGAGAAAAACGACAGTCCTCGAAACGTCTAGAAAAGTATTCTGTCACATAGAAAATGTTAATCTCATAGTGGCTTTATTTTGTTAAGACCCAACTTCAGTGTTAGAGAAAAGTAATACAGACTATGGACAACTGAACTGGTTTAGGTGAAGGCAATTCCCCTACCACAGTCTTGACATGTTTAGAAGAAAATTTTGCCTAAGATTATAAAATGTTCATACTACAATCATGCAACATTTCTGGAAGTGAAAAAGCTCACACATCTCCATACAGAGTCCTACACTTGCAGCATTTGTAACCTTAGCTTAGAGAACACAGTGGACAAAATGTGATGTAATCCAAAGGAGAGTAACGACAGACAAAGCTTTCTGCAGATTGAGAATTTCCCCCAAAACTCTGAGGAACAACCAACCTGACACTGATGCTTTAAAAAATATTACTTTTAGCTAAGTTTGAAAGGTAAATGTAACCGTCCTTCAACTCTAAGTAAAAAAAAATAAAGAAAAAAAATGAGCGAGGAGCTGTTTTACTCTGGTTGGTTCAACACAAACGAGGAAGACAAAACGTGTGGAAGATGCAAGAGTACAAATGGTTTCCTCAATGGCAATTTTTTTCTAGCAGAAATGGGTCGTTTCGCTGATAACGGGTACTTAGTGTCTTGATCTATTTTAGAAGCCGGCAAACAGAACACCCAATTCATTCTTCACATGCTACCAGACAGGGTGATAATTTACTCTGGGCTGAATAGCTCTGTGTTTACCATGAGAAAGGACTGATCTTTTGTCTTTAAGAGCTACTAACCTCCTAGATAAGATGTAGAGAACAAAAAGCTCATACAAACTTGGAGTATGACTGACAAGAACAGTTTGCTCCTTGAACGTCAAATTTCCTTACAGCACTTCCAGTCAATCTTTCCAAATCTCCCGTGAAACAGAAAGGGGGGGGAGGCCTTACTGCAGCTAAGCAGAGGGCAGGTAGCTGCAGAGGGGGCTGGGTTAATGGCAGGAGAACTGTGGGAGCCCAGGTGGAGCCGGAGCGGTGCCAGAACTGGATTTCTTTGGAAACGCACAGGGAAGTGTTGCTGGGGACTGCGCGCTGGGGCTGGGAGGTGCGAAGGTGGCCGATGGTGCCTCAAGCCTGCTGCTGCAAAGCTCAGGCATCAGCAGCTTTGGAGCAAATGAGAACTGCTAAATTGAGTCTCGACAGACTTGGTAAGAGTCCTGGCACCGCCTCTGCGCCTCACTGAGCCCCAGCCTGGACGCGGCCGCTCCCCAGCTGGAACAACTGTTCCAAGGTTTTTCCCACACGGAGTTCTTTCTGGCCACCGTGTCCCAGAGCAGTGTACGCTTGGTTCACAAACCGCACAGCTTTCCAGGTCACTAAGGATCTCGCCTCGATTAAATGAGGGAGAGATGCTGAAATTATGAATGCAAAGGGACAGGCAGTATGGATTTGAATGCAACTCCAGAATCACACCGCAAGGTAAAATCAAAATAGCAAAAAGACATGCAGGTGTATCTGCATATCTTGTATCTAAATTGATTTACTTTTTATCCTGAAAAAAATTATCATAATATACATAATTTTCTTAAACAAACAACAAAAAAATCAGTAATATTTCTGATTGAAACACCATTTCTTACACTAAAGTCAGAGACGAGAACTGGCATACTAAGCTCAGAGCGCAGGGATGGTCTGCCATGTTTTCCAGGCTATTTTCATCATTTTTTTGTTTTGAACACTGGCTGGCTATCACGCACGCTGTGCTAAACAGGACCTAGCAAAACGAGTAACTGCAAGTGCTGGAAAGGGCCATGAGACAAAATCAAGGAGTTGTCAGGGAATTGCATTCCCCTACTAAATTCAGGTGCGCTTCCTATCTGGGATCCTGATGGAGAGGAGTTCCTCCTGTAACATCGTTTCACTGCAAACACTGCGTGGGGATTTCACTGTCTGGAACAAGGCTTTAAAGCCGGACCTCTCCCCTCCTGCTCATCAGATTATATGTCATAATTATCAGATCAGAGAATATTTGTCTCAATATTTAGTTATTGATATAAACAGAAGTATCTTTCGTGGGACAAATGGCTGGACCCATGCAAGATATGAAAATGGGGCTCGCCATTGTATATAGAAAGAAGAACAGTCCTTCTATTTAATTGCCACTTTTCCAGTGGGAATCATATTTAAATACATTTGGGACATTTCTGTCAAACAACTAAAGCGATTCATTAGAATAATCTTAATGGACTGAAAAATTTACTAAAAAAGACATTTAATTGTCGTGAAAGCCATGCTTTAAGTGCAGACTACAATATTACGCTTAGTGGCTCCCCAAGGTAGTGTTTGCTCAGCTCTGTTTGTTTTGAATTAAATTGGGTAAGAGTTTTTCCACGTCCTCCGCTGTTCCTCACCACTGATTGGAGCTGGATGCAGAAAAGCCTGATGGTGACGGAGCTGCATGTCTCCTACAGACTCTGCCTGTGCTGTAGATGCCGATAAATGCTTGACCTAGCTCCAAGGCTCAAGTGATTTGCCAAAATAGCAGCTTAAGCTAGAGGTTATTCCAATGTAAATTCGACATGACAAACGCTAAACAGATTCTGGAACAACAAAAAGCCATATGCTGGCAAAACAAAATCAGAAAGGCAGATGCTGATGGTCTGATGGTCAGCTGAAAGCTGCGGCTGCTCCGGCCAGCGGCAGCGGCGGGAGCCAAAGGCCGTGCTGCTCCTCAGGCAGGCTGGGAATCGGAAGCTGAGGATGGGAGCTGAGCAGGGCGCGGAACCTGGCAGTTACAGGGCAGGGCAAGCTCCTTCCCAGCAGTGCTGAGCCTACTCCCTTCCCTCCAACCCAACCAGTGGTTCTCAGCAAATCAGTCCTCTCTCTTCCAAGCTACTCTCCTGCTCCAGAACAAGATGCTTGAAAATTACTATTAGTATTGCCACACTTCCTTTAAGTGACTCGATTAGCAAGCCAATTCTCGTACTTCCTGTGGCCACTATTTTTAAGGTCAGAATTATGAAGACGTAGATTTGCATTTACCATTGATTCCAGAAAGCTCTGTGTATGTTACAGTGCTTGGGGAATATGAATTCTGAGGGTAAAAGCACCCTTCCAGTTCCATAATGCCATGCAATTAATTTACCAGCGCACTCCATCCAACACCACCTCTTCAATTACTAGCCGTTATCTCTTACATTGATAAGATAAAATTACTAACTCACAGATGAGGTCAAGCGAATCAGATGCCTCCTTTTGTTCTCCTGCTTGTCAGTCCTGAAAGAGGGAAAGTCTCGCCCTGTAGGTAAGAGTCTAGTGTCATTTTACATCCCCTAAGATGTCCCGTCTGGCTTCCAGCTGCCTTTGGTGGGTGGAAGATCTACGTGGGTTCTGATCGCACATTCAGTCCCATACGTGTCTTGGATACTCTTAGGTGTGAAGAATGACACTAAGTGCCTCTGTGTAGACAACTAACTCCCACCCTAACTGCTCAGAGCGAGAGCTGTCAGACTCCAGACTATGCAAATTGACAAAAGAATTTTACAACTAGACTAAGATTAAAAATTTTTATATATGGTTTCATTCCTGAAATAACATAAATAACATACTAATAACAGCACAAAGCAGCTGGAGAGCATATGTAAGGTGCTATGTCTACGTAACATACTAGACTACGCAGGTTTGGAGAGCCCACATTGTTCAAGGCTCAAACAAACGTGAACTCGAGTGAGCATTTCCCAGAAATAACTAAAATTAATTGTGATTTAAACTCGCTGTAGCCTAGGCAGCCTCAGG